TTGAAGTAGTTTGAGAGTAAATACATCATTTTCATTTTTGATCAACAATTTCTTTATATCCAGACTCTAGGGTCGTATCGGAAAGCTATAACAGAGCACATACTTTGTTGTCTCCTCCTGACACAGCCAGGATGTTTCCTGTGATGGACCAGCTCACGTGCCACACCACGTCATTGAATTTGTGGAGGAGTTTAGCCGTCCAGGTGTTACCGGCTGGGTCGTCACACATCCAGATAAACACACGACCATCCTATGGTGGAAAATACTATAAAATAAATAATTTATGCATATTCCAGATACTATAACCAAAATTATATGGCACTAAAGTTACACATTATAAACAGTTAAAGCATTCCTAAGGAATCAAACACATGGCTACTGCCATGCTCTATTGTTTGCACTACAGGAATGTAATATAATATAATATCGTTTATAGTTTAAAATAAAAATCAACTTAAATATAATTGATAGATTTGATTACTGTTATTGTTCACAGTGATATACAGTACAATATTTATAGTGAAGCATTAGGCTGTGATCACCTGTGAGCAGCTGGCGATTGTGCTGGTCGGCAGACCAATGGAAGGAGCCCAGCCAACATCTCTCACCCAATCACTGTGCGCCTCCAGCTTCTGGTCCTCTTTCCACTGGCCGTCCTCTTCCCTGGGAAGAAAATATGAATGTCAGCACATTACTTCAAGGTATTTCAAATAAATGCTGTTCTTTTAAACTTTCTACTCAAAGAATCCCGAAGAAAAACAAATTGTATCAAAATTGTAATCGTAAAAGAATCAGAGTTCCCACACACAAAAAAAGGGCAGCACAACTGTTTTCAACATTGATAATAACAATCATGTTTCCTGAGCCACTAATCAGCATATTAGAATGATTTCTGAAGGATCATGTGACACTGAAGACTGGCGTAATGATGCTGAAAATTCAGCTTTGATCACATGAATAAATTACATTTTACAATACATTCACATTGAAAACAGTTATTTTAAATTGTAATAATATTTCACAATATTACTGTATTTTTGGTCAAATAATTGCAGCCTTAATGAGCATCAGAGTCTTCTTTCAAAACTAAATTAATCTTAATTATTCCAAATGCCAATGTGTACATAAAATTTCTTTTTTTTTTCTTTTCTTTTTGAAGTTTTCTATTTAATTCTGTGTGGGTCTATTGGGAGCCCAATTGTTGTAGTAAAAGCTGACAGCAGGTGCTAGTCACAGTACTCTCTAAAATAAGGGCTGCACTCACTTCCACAGCTTGACCAGATTGTCACAGCCTCCAGATACAAATCTCTTGATGTAGTTGGGCTTCTGTCCTGTTGGCTGCTCAATAAGACTCCCTGGGACAACAGCTGGGGCCCAACTCACAGCGTTACAGCCGATCTGCCAGCGAGAAGAGAGAAACCATTAAAAACTCAAACAACAGGAGGCAGTGCAACAAACTGTGCCAGTCTTGAACGACATCTACCTGCATGTCTAATGCTGTACTGTTCAATCAGCACTCGTGAATACTGACAAAAATTATTCTTGCATCGTCAAGCTTTTGCTGTAGCTCATGTAAAATTTGAAATTTCAAATAATTTCTAAACGTTTTAATAAAAAAAATAAAAAAAAGTCACATATAAAGGTAAAACTCACTGTATGTGCATTGTTGATCTTCTTAATATCCCAGTGTCCATCTCCAGAGCAGGTCAACACTGAAATGGCACCGTCTGAGCTGCCACAGGCCAGAATCAAGCCGAAGTCATACGGTCCCCAGCAAACAGAGTTCACTGCGGGACAACAAACGTGTGATTGTCCACAGCGGGATGCACTTCTGTGTCACAGTGTTTGATATGAGAATCAGAAGCGTGAAGTTACCGGAGGAGTCGTGGCCTGTGTATTCATACATCTTGTCCCAGCTGCCGTTCTCCTCCTTCCAGATGATCACCTTCCTGTCGTAGGAGCAGGATGCCAGGATGTTGCCGTACATGGGGTGAGCCCAGGCCACCTGCCACACCGGACCCTCATGACTGCCCAAAGAGATCGAAAGAATTCAAATAAAAGAACTAGTAAGATAAATTAGCTAAAAAGATCATTAGCCCTGTTATCAATCATAACAAGTCTCCCTTAAACTAGAGTTTTAGTTTATTATAAAAGTCAATGTATAACAAAAATAAGAAAATTGTAATGATGCCAGTAAAACACTTTCTTTAATGCCAATTTGATGCTTTTGTCAGCTACAATAATATCTTTAAATTATTTTAGGGTATTTTTCAGTAGGGTTGTGACGGTGAGGAAATTTTCCCACCGGTTAATAGACGTGTTTCAGCCAATACAAATATATGTGATTAATCAACTATTATTATTGTTATTTTATTATAAATTACTTTTTCCTGACAAAATTAAAATATGCAATATTAATAATTATTTATTTAAATTTACTGGGTGCAATATTTTAATCATTTAACAACACTAAATATAACACATAAATGTAAGCAGATTTTTCATTCATGTATGCATTTATTTAATAATTGATTGTTTTAGTTTTTGGTTGCTTTTAATTGATTGAACTTTTACTTGCCGATAAATACCTGGAAAAATTTTTAACTGTGTTTACACAATTATTCTATTGTTTTATTTATTCTGTGTTATATATATATATATATAAATAAATAAATAAATAAATAAATATATACACATATATATATATATATTTCTTAAATACTTCTTTGAAAAATATTTAACTAATATATTTAACTGTTGTAATGCATATTTGTTTATAGTTACATTTTGGGGGGATATTAAATAATTGTGTTCATTAGCTGTATCAAAAATGTATCAGTTTATTTTATCATGTAATTAACTGCATTAAATATTTTAATCAATTGATCGCCGCAATTATAACAAAACTGCACAAGTAGCTTCATTCATTTATTTATTTATTACAATTGAATTATTAAGATTTTGGATGTATGATTATAATTGTTTCTTTGTCATCAATTTTCAACTAATTATTTACTTGAGTAATTACTAAAAGAAATATTTAAAGAATATATTTTATTGTTGTAATTTATCTTTGTTTATATATACATTTAAATAATTTAATATGTATTTTTTGTGGAAAAATGTGTTCATTTGCATAGAGAACAGTTACATTTTCTGGTTATTGTAATTGTCTCCTGAAGTTATAGTTTCATTTTAGTATCACTGAAACCCTAGTTTTAGTTGCGTGCTTCACTCACCCCCTGAGATCAGCCACGAGGATCTGCCCTCCGTTTTTGACGTCAAAGATCTTCACGGAGCGATCAGAGGAGCAGGTGGCCAGTCTGGTCCCGTAATAATCCATCTGAGCATCATGCTGAACACAGAACAACAAATCCGAGTCATAATGCTGGAAAAGATGCCGTAAAGGTAAAGGAGGAGACCGAATGTACGGAGACACTCACGATCATGTCCTCGTGTGAGGTGTCCACTGTGTTAATGACCGAAACCTGAAAGACACAAGACCACACACATGCTGAAAACTTAAATGGTTATTTGCGGAAAACATATAAATTATTTTAGTGTGTTTTATAACTTTATAATGCATCAGATTTAACTGACATCAACAGAATTTTTGATATTATCATGCATTTTATCTGAATACCCATAAATCTCAATAAACATAGTCATGTATAAAGGTATATGCAACTAATTGATTATTTTGAAATTTCATTATTATTATTTAATAATTATTTATTAAATATTAACTGAAATAAATATTTTATTCAATTAACAAATACTGATAAATGCCGTTATTCATTAATTATATATATATATATATATATATATACAGTGGG